GTGAACTTTGCTGAGCCCTAATTTCATCTTGTATAACAGGAAGAGTAAAACCCAGATGGCAACACTGCTGTGAAGATTCAGTGAATAGCACAAAGTCAGACGTCAGTGACGAGAATCTAATGTTATTATTACTAATGGCATAAACGACTTTCTTTACAGTATGCTTTGCTTGAAGCTAGTGCTGTTGTTGTTGTTAAGTGCCGTAGAGTCGGTTCCGACCCATAGCGACCCTGTACAGGGTTTCTGAGGGTGTAAATCTTTACGGGAGTAGAAAGCCTCATCTTTCTCCCGTGGAGTGGCTGGTAGTTTCGAACTGCTGACCTTAAAGTTCGCAGCCCGATCCGTAACCACTACGCTACCAGAGTGCTAATAAGTCTTAAAATAAAAACATTAAGGGCGTTTATCCACACGATGTAAAAATAAGACAGTTTCTCCCTACCCTGACTCTGCAAATAAGAAACTGGAACTGAGAGGGCACTGCCCAAGGTCACAGAGCCTGGCCACCAGGAATTTCATGCTTGATGCTTCTCTCACCAGTATTCAGTGCAACCAGGTATTTAAGAAATCACCTGCTGCTTGCCACACAGGAAACTATTCACTTTAATTCTGGCTTCTAGTCCCTTTCTATCATTTGGGTGTGAGTTTTCTTTGACTTTCTATGGAAATATATGGTTTGCTTCAACTCTCTTTCCTGCTGTGTCCAGTGGTTTTCTGAAAGCAAAGCCCTGTGTGATGTCATCGGTCTCACTCCCATTGGCCAGATTATCTGTCCCTAGTGATTGATGTCAGTCTTTACTTCTCTAGAATGAGAGCAAATCAAAGAAGGCTCCCACCTAACCTACAAGAATGTTCAGTCAAGCTCTAGAGAAGGAGATAGGAGGAAACCTGTCCCTACATTAATTCCAGGTGACCTGAAACAGATTTGTTTCTTTCAGAGAAAATCTGAGGGAGGGGCCAGTTTATAACAGAATCTAGGTTTCACCCCTGGACTCAGGTAATTCTCTGAATCTACTTATAGAGCAAATTTCTAAACCGTGTGTGTGTGTGTGTGTGTGTGTGTGTGTGTGTGTGTGTGTGTGTGTGTACAAAATAAAGAACCCATCTTGGCCCCCAAGTCCCAAACTTACTGCCATCTGGTCAATTTTGAATCACAGCGACCCTACATAGCAGCAAATCAAGGTTGTAAATCTTTACAGAAGCAGAAAGTCTCATCTTTCTCCCGGAGAGTATCTGGTGAGTTTGAACTCTCGACCTTGTAGTTAGCAATCCAGTGCTTATTCTATAGCACCAAAATACCAGTTAAAAATCAGTTGTTCAGGATTTTATTCCAACTAATGGGGTCCCCGTGTGTTTCAGAGTAGAACTACACTCTGGCTGTGACCTTTTGGAAGTAGATAGCCAAGCCTTTCTTCCCAGGTACCTCTTAGGAACCAAACTAGAAGGGCTATATTTATTCATTCATTCAAAAAATATTTCTTGAGCACTTATATAGGTATGGGGGGGAGGGGGAAGAGTTGTTTAATATCTAAGAGAATTGTCCCGAAATATTCTTTATTTGAAAAAAGTCAAAGAGCTAAAGAAAAACTATATATAGACAACGCAACTTTCTAGATGATTCCACTCAAGCACCTCAAACCAAATTCCCCCAAACCTAAGGACTCTTCATATTATTGTTTTTGTTAGATGCTGTGGAGTCAATTCAGACTCACAGTCACCCTGTACAAGATTTCTGAGGAGTGACTGGTAGGTTTGAACCACCAACCTTGTGGTTAGCAGTCTAATGCATCCACACCAAGATTCCAGTAACAGTTCATATCATTCATTTATTTATTATATATGATAATAGGTATGTATGTGAACTAAACTGCCAGAAAAGAATTTTAATCCAGTCTCTTACTAGCTGGGAGACCCTGGTCAAATTCACCTCTTGACAGCTTAGCACCCTTACCTATGAAATGAATTTCTACTACCTGCCTCAGAGAGTTGTTGTAAAAATTAAACACTGGTTGTTAGCATACAATCTGGCACATGGTAAGTACTGAATAAAATTTATTATTGTTATTCAGTCAAAGAATTTGACCTGAATTACTTACTTTGCTCAATTGTCTTTTTCGTTTCAAGGGAAATGATTTGAAACACATCTTCTGTACACTTGTTTACAGTTGTAGAACTCAGAGGAAAGCTAATAAATCGAGGAAAGAACTTTCTTTAGATGAGACGTTTAGAAAACCAAGCTTACTACCTTTCCTCTGTATCAGCCCTTTTGGAAGTGATTGGATTGTATCAGGAGGGGTTTTAAAGAACAATTAACAAAACAACCTTTTATGCCAAGTCCTTAGAAAGGAAACAAACAGTGGGAAAATTCAAAGGAGCCTTCTGCCCCTAACTTAATTTCTATACTGTTCCTTTCTTTTATCAGGTGCGATTTGAATAGAAATGGGTGGGGGGTTGCTTAGTTGAAAATATTTTGAAGTACTTATTTAAAAGAAATTTGTGCTTTTATAGAATGTTATAGAATATTTCCTATAGGAATCAACTAATATGTTGATTTCCTGATTTTTTCGCATTTCTTGGTAAAGTCTCAGCAACCCTTAGACACTGTGACTTGTGAGAACATTTATTTCATAATGCAAAGAAAGATTTTTTATTGTAACTAAGTAAATTACTTTGAAGGTTTCAGAAAAATATTTCAATGTCACTCACCCTTTTAAAAAAAAGTCTCTGAGTGTAAAAATGACAGGTGTCATTATTTTACCATTTTTTTTTATTGTATTAACTCCCTTAAAAAATGTCAGTAGTACAATTAGACAATAGGTACCCATTTGGGTTAATAATTTCTTTAGGAAATTCCAGCCTTCTCAAATTATTTTCTCCCTTTATATGTATTAATGTTTCCAGGAAAATGGGCATGTCCAGCACAGAATTAATTGGTAATTATTTGGTACCTGGTATTGTCCTGGTGTGGTGCTGTGGACTAATGTGTCAGACTGCAAAGTCGTTTGAACTGCAAGGTCGGTGGTTCAAGCTCACCAGCTTCTCCTTGGAAACCCTATACAGGGTCACTATGGGTCGGAATTGACTGGATGGCACTTAACAACAACAACATTGTACCTAAGGAGTCCTGGTGTGCGCTGTGGGTTAATGCGCAGGTCTGCAAAGTCGGTTTGAACCGCAAGATCGGCGGTTCAAGCTCACCAGCTGCTCCTTGGAAACTATGCAGGGTCGCTGTGGGTTGGAACCGACTCAATGGCACTTAGCAACAACAACAATTGTACCCAAAGAGTCCTGGTGTGGCGCTGCAGGATAATGCGCTTCACTGCAAGGTCAGTTTGACCCACAAGGGCGATGGTTTAAACCCACCAGCCACTTCTCAGAAACTATACGCAGAGTTACTATGAGTAGGAATTGACTCGATGGCACTTACCAACAACAACATTGTGCATAAAAAGTAACCGGAAGTCTTGGTACTGGGACTCTTGGGTAAACATACATATATTAATCCCTTCTTTTATGTAAACTTGCCATTTCCCTTCTGCTGGGTCACACACACACTTTGCCCTCTTTGGCCTAACTTTTGACTTTGAAATTTTCATCCCAAGGCGGAGGTAGGTGTAGTTTACAAGTGTCTGCTTTGCAGATCCAAAAGGCTAAAAGCAAGCGGAAGTGAGAGAAATCCCTCCCGGGACCTAAGCTTTCCCTAGAGGTTTGAGAAGCTCCATTCACGCTATGTTCTTCTTCTCTCTGTGAAAACTAAACCCAGAGGCAGTCCAGGGTACCTAAATCACCGCCCCCTCTCGCTACCAAGAAAGGTTCTTAACCTTTTTTGGACGGGGATCTGCAGAAAGCTATGGACCCTCTTAAGAAGGGGGTAGGGGGCTGAGGAAAGTACAGCGGGAAAAGCTTTGAGAAACTTTTAGAAGGGGAACTGTAGATTTGAAATACAGCCGGAATTGCAGGATTAAAACCCCACCTCTAAAACTTTTGACTTGGGGCAATTAATTAAGAGCCAGATTCAGATGCCAAATCTTGTCCCGGGTGAGAAACTGTAGGAAAAGAAGGAGGACTTGCCTGGGGCCACTTTCATTTGTAAGAAACCAAAAAAGGAGACAGAGGTTTTTAAAAGGAGGGGAAAGAGAAGTGGGAGAGGACTAGTGGAAAGAAATGGGAACGGTGGGGACAGAGAAAGAAGGTGCTAAAGAGAAAAGGAGAGGGAGAATGAGAGGGGACACTGGGAGGGGGAGAAGCTAGAGAGGCAGCAAGGAACACAGAGGCAAAGAGAGACCAAGAGAAAAGAGAAACCCGAAATGGAGAAAGAGAGAAAAGAGACTGCGCGCGCTAGAAAAGAGAGAAAACTCGTTCTTCTTCCTCTCCGTGGCAGGAGTTTCAAGAAAAGCCCACCTCGGCGAGGCAGCGGGGACAGCCACCGGCAGTCCCGGCGCCTCTGACCTCCGCCTCTTGCAGCCCGCGGGGCCTCCAGCTGTGAGTCCCGCACTGGCTGGCCGAGGAGGGGACACTGTCTGAAAGGAGGCGGTCCCCGTAGCCTCGCTTTCTCCTCCCCTCTCCTCCTCCTAGAGGCGTGCACCCGGGGTATTTGAGCGGCGGAGGACCCGCAGCCCCCCCACCCCCGACCCCCCATTCAAGAAGCCGCTCCGCTATCCCAGCCAGCACAGGGCGCCCAGCGCGCCTCGGAGCGCACGTTCCGCGCCTTCTCCAGCCGGCTTGCTGGACATTATGCGGCCGAGCAGCAGAGCCCCAGTCCTCCTCCTCCCGCTGCTCCTCCGGTTCCTCCTGCGGCCCGAGCGGCTGAGCTCACGGCAGGCGGCGGCGTTGCTCAGCCGAGCGCAATCAGGACCCTCGCGGAGAGACCTCAGCGACTCTTAAAGTCAAAAGTTGGCGGCGGGCGCTGGGCTCCGCGCGCTCTCCACGGCCGCTGCCTAGCTTAGTTGCTGCTTCTGCCTCGCTCGCCACAGTCAGGGAGACCAGAAGGGAGGGGGTGGGGGCGACAGAGGGAGGGGTGGGGAGCACCATGCAGTTTGTATCTTGGGCCACACTGCTAACGCTCCTGGTGCGAGACCTGGCTGAGATGCGAAGCCCAGACGCCGCGGCGGCCGTGCGTAAGGACAGGCTGCATCCGAGGCAAGGTAACAAGGCTCTGCCCCCGGGACACACCACCACCATCGCTGACCCCCGCCCTCTTCACCCAAGCGGGACCCCCTGCAGTGAAGGTTCCCCTGTTTCTTTCCCCTTTTCCTAGAAAGAATTATCTCCTGCTTTGCAGCCTCTCTCTTCTTGGGATCATTCCTAGCCAATTACTAGGAGAAGACACTGGAACGAACTCAGTCAACTTCCCCCCACCCCCCACCCCACCGTCTCACTTTTAGCCTGATCCACCCTTTCCCACTTCCATGCCCCAAACCAAAGTTACTTAGTAACCTGAAGACACAAGATAGCGGCATGTTTTATTTTATTCAGAGTATTTATCAGGATCTGAAATTATCAATGTCTTTTGACTTGTTCATTGTCTGACTTTGAATGGTGTACCCTCAGAGCCTAACACAGTTTCTGCTTTTACTGGAACATAGTAAGTGCTCAGTGAATATTTTGGCCGCTGAATGATAGTAAATGTATGGACAGAAAATACTGGCCAATAAATCAGGGACTGACTTGAATGGGCAGAAAATACTGGGTAATAAATCAGGGTAATCCCGCCACACCTTCAATTTAAATAAAATTTGACAGAAAACTGTAATGTTTCATGTGCCTATGCTTCTCTTTGCAGTGAAATTATTAGAGACCCTGAGCGAATATGAAATCGCATCTCCCATCCGAGTGAATGCTCTCGGAGAACCCTTTCCCACGAACGTGCACTTCAAAAGGCGGCGACGGAGCATTAACTCTGCCTCTGACCCCTGGCCTGCCTTCGCCTCCTCCTCTTCCTCCTCTACCTCCTCCGAGGCGCATTACCGCCTCTCCGCCTTCGGCCAGCAGTTTCTATTTAATCTCACCGCCCATGCCGGATTTATCGCTCCACTATTTACTGTCACCCTCTTCGGGGCGCCCGGGGTGAATCAGACCAAGTTTTATTCCGAAGAGGAAACAGAACTCAAGCACTGTTTCTACAAAGGCCATGTCAATACCAAGTCCGAGCACACGGCAGTCATCAGCCTCTGCTCCGGAATGGTAAGTGGGCGCGCGCCCCCTCTCCGGCCCCTCCTCTCCGCCTCCTCGCCCTTCACAAGCATCCGCTCTTGAAGACTTAATTGCTCTCTAGACTAAGACCCTCGCTGCACCAGACTCCACTCCGTCATTAAATATCTGCGCGACACTCTTTCGCGTCCTTCCGTTTTGCCGGGTAGCTCTTGTGTGTGCGCTTACACTTGAGAGGGGCGCATGCATCCGCCCCAGCTGGCTCTGGATATTTCAAGGCTTTCTCAAGTCTGCTCAGTTAAGCATTGCCTAATGCTGCAAAGCGGCCTGGAAATCGGTTTCCAAACTAAGAAACTTGCTAGAGTTGCGGTTCGCTGTAGCAAACTCAGCCGCCCGGGAGCGGAGCAGCTGAGCGCCGGGTAGACCAGACTCCTTATTGGCGCATCTTGAGTCAGGAATGTGGGCTGAGGTTCCCCAGCATGGGGTACCTCGGGTTCCTTATCTGTGTATCGTGAAGGGCGATAATCTAGAGTCCCCACGTACTCTCCGGGCCTTTTTTTCACGCGCCAGGAGCCTTGAGACAGTGCAGGATTGACAGGGAGTGGGTCCTGTCCGCAGAACGGAAGGGCGGGCTGAGGGGCTCTGGGGGCGGGGAGAGGGCGGAGCCTACTCCGGACGCTTTGAATTAAAGTGGAAGCTGGGGTGGGGGTGCGGCGCAGTCCGACTCTGCACCCTGCTGGCGGGGTGACCTCAAGAAACTGGAATGGTGGGAGGCAGCCGGGACATGATACGTTTTCCTGGTGTTTTCACCACCCAAGGGGTTCGCTATAGCCGGGAGGGGGAGCCTGCGGCGCAAGTTTCCCTATCTAGGAGAGGCTAGAAAGCAGGGTGGCCACCTCCCAGCGCTGCTAAATACGCTTTTAGCAGGCGACCCAAGCTGGTCCCCTGATTCCCTATTTGTTCCCTTGCTATTTGTCTTCCAGAAGGTCTTACAGGATGTTGGTTCCTTCTCCTCATGATATTTGAGGAGCTGCTTCAAGGTTCTGGCCCAACGAGGGTGGTCCTAGACTTTCCTAAGCGACGTGCGTTTCAGCTACGCGCATGTGACGCAGAAGCTTTACAGGGTCAGACTCTACCAACGCACAGCGCTATACGCGAAACTGGGTCTCAGATTCTGATCCCGAATAGTGCGTTTAAGTTCCCCTGAGCACCCACAACCCTCCCTTCATCTTTTCTGTGCGGGGGCTTGGATACTTACCCTGTCGCTCAGCTAGATGCACTGCCATTCGTGGGTCTTAGAGTTTCTCTTCTGTGTACCTCCTCCAGCTCCGTTGTGCTCTGGGGAGCGAGGAAAACCTGAAGGCTGGAAGAGCAAGGTTTAGTCTGCTGAGATTCGGGGGTCAGGTTAAATTCCTTTAGACCCCCAGCTAAACTCCGGCAGTCGTGGTTTCCAGAATGCGTAGCAGAGATTATTTGGGGGTGGGCGGAGACGGCAGTTTGGTGAAGGGGTGCGGGTGCTCCTATGAGTCATCGCTGCTCCAAGACCAAGGGCCAGAGCACAGGAACTCATTCCATTCTTTAGGAAGTTACGGCAAGGATGGGCAGAAGTCTGGCGCCTGAACTCGGTCCATCAAAGAGCCCCAGATCCCAAGAGTATAACCCCCAATTCCACCACTGTATGGATAGAGTTGTGTGTGTACGTCAAGTTTGTAAACAATCGTAACTCCGCCTCCTTCCCCGCCTCCATAACCCGTTGAATCAGAGTGGCCCCAGCAGCAGTATAAATATTTTGCTGCTCAGGACCTTAATTTCTATTGGTCCTTTTTAAGTGGCAACTCGCACGTGGTCTGGTTGGCAACGGAGGGGCAGGGCTTCAGAAACCGCAGCTTGGATGCTAATAACTCTATTTATATTGAGTTTAATTTGCAACCTGCCTCTTCTGGGGGGGAGTGGTGGGATAGATCTAGCATACCTATTAAAGATAGTTCGCTGGTTGTGTGTATCCTCAGCCATGAGTTATTCTACAGAATAATTACCTTTTTTGTCTTCTGAAATTTATCTTTCCTCCCTAGACTTTAGCAGGAAATCTTTAACACTTCAGATTCAGAGTAAACTTAGCACTCTCCTCCCACCAGCAATTATTTATCAGGTTCTGGGGTTTCCATCACCCCTCATTAATTTAACATCACCACCCTAAATCCAGTCCTCTATACCTCTTTTGTCTTTCTCACTAAAATTGATGTGCAAGAGATACTCATGTTTGGCTTCTTTTGGAGTCTTTCACCCCCAATCCATGCCACACACTGTTTGCAGATTAAAGATAAAAACCTATCTCTCTGCTGTTCTGGTCCTTTACAAAGCCTTCGATTGCCTGTTGAATAAACCTAAACTCCTTCTAGCACCTAAGGCCATTTACAATGTACTCTTCACACACCCCTACTCATCTCTCAGTCTTTGCTTCACAAATCCTGTATTTTAGGTCATCTGTTCTATGTTTCTTTTCCTGAATCCTCTCTAATTTTAATCCTACATCATTCCCTTTATGTCTTTGAATTTACTTGGTCTTCTCACCCAACTTTGTGTGCTCACAGTATGTCTTTCTTTTCAAGTGTAATTTACATGCCTTCTTCCTTTAAAGGACAATTTCCTAATCCTTCAAACTGATGTCCTCTCTTTCATAGACACTTGTGTGTATCTCTCATAGGAGCCTTTGCTATGTTGGTACTTGTTTTACAGCTCTTAGTTTACATGGCCTGTCTAGCTCCTTGACATCAAATCATTTCTTTCCCACATTGCAGCTTTGCTTTTTGCAGTTGCTTAGTACATATATTTGAAGAAATGATCACCTTAATCAAAAAAGCTAATTCTTAGGCCTAGCAACTATTTTGTGAATCAACAAGAAAATTTATGTTGTTATCTCACGATTCCATTTATTGCACTCTCATGATGTTCCTAATGGTATGATTGTTGTTAAGTGCCTTACAGTCGGTTTTGACTCATAGCAATTCTGTTTAGGGTTTCCTAGGAGGGGCTGGTGGGTTTGAACCGCCGATATTGGGGTTAGCAGTTAAGTGCTTATCTTATGGCCCCACACCAGGCCTCCCTGGCAGTATAGTAAATACTTTGCACATTTTATATCATTTTGTATTTTACAGATCAGGACACCTAAGCTTTGAAAATTTGAGACTTGACCAAGGTCTCACAGTTACTAAGTGGCAGAGTTGGGGTTCCAACCCAGTCTTCTTAACCCATGCCCTTAACCACAGGTCAGGACTGTGGCTGGGTTCCCCAAAACCAAATGAAACAAAACAAAACATAACAAGAAACTCCACCGTTCTGTTTTTAAAGGCACTGGACTAAATCAGAATACCTGAGTTCTAGACTTAGCACAGGCACTATCTAGCTGTTATCTAAGGGGAAAGTTGCTCAAGTCACTTCCTTCTTTAAGATCTCAGTTTCCCTTCTTACCAATCAAAGGTGCCAGATCTTCACCAGATGAACTCTAAGGCCCTTTCCCCATATTTATGATCTTTGTCTGGTAGGTTTCACACTTGTGTTTAGTGCTTAGAAGACACCAGAGTTGTATATTAAAAATAGGCAGCGGTAACTAGGTGAGAATGAATTGTTGAATCCCTTTGTTCTGATAAAGTTACTTTGTCTGATAACTGGTCCTCTGGTAACCAGTAACATCAGAACTGTCCTTTCTTTAAATCAGTGGCTCATGAATCACAAGAGGAGGTATTTTAAAATATAGACTCTAAACCCCAACCCTGGATTTTCTGAATCTGTGGGTATGGAGTGGTGCTCCCAAATCAGAATGGTTTTTTAAAAACATCCCAGGCAATTCTGACATTAGCTGGGTTTGGGAACCAATGTCTTAGTCTGGTGTTTCTCAGACTTTATTGTGTGTAAGACTACCCCCAGAGATTTTGGTTCATTGGGTACAAATGATTAAGAGGTTAATGTTTTTAGCTGCTAATTAAAAGACTGGAAGTTCATGGTCTACTCATAGGCACCTTGTCAGAAAGACCTAGAAATCTACTTCTGAAAAATTAGTCACTGAGAGCCCTATGGAGCACAGTTCTGATCTCACACAGAAGATTACCATGAGTTGAAATGGACTCAATCGTCACAGATAGCTTTGGGGTGCAGTTCTTAAGGGTAACCTTATACACAATAAAGTTCCGTTATTTGAGCTTCTAACATGTTCTTGAATGATGCTGATGTTCCCACCATCATTCAAAGACAGTCATTTCCCTTGTGCTCAGAGACAGGCCCCAGATATTCTTCTTCTTCTTCTTGGTGAAGGGAAAAAATACAATAGAGAAGAGAGAATTTAATTTTTCCACTTAAGCTTTGCCCAGCCAACCTGACATGGGGAACTTTTCTTCATTCTTGGAGTGTTTGGTTGTGGTGGTTCACTCTGAGGCATCATTTATCTTTTACTAAACTTGTGGAAATGTGGGAAGGGAAGGAGAAAAGAGTTACTTCCCAAATAACATCATGGTATTTAGAGGCAGAGATAGGAGCAGGCATGGGGCATGTGCTACACTATGCTCTCCCCTCACCATAGCTAATGAATTGTTGATGAATGAGTCTGCTAGACCCAACCACTCTTGCTGCTTATAACACCAGGAACAGCCAAATCCACTAATTTGTTTTAAGTCAGTACTAGGTGCCACTTTGTTCAATACTTTACATGTATTATCTCATTTAACCCTTTACAGTATTCTTATCACCAATTGATACAGGAGGAAACTGACACTCAGAGTGATTAAAGAATTAGCTCAAGGTGGGTGGGCTAGTTAGTGGTGGTGGTAGGACAGGAATCTAGTCTGGTCTGTATTCAGAGCCTTATATAATATTGCTTCCCTACTGCAAAGGGAAGGAGCTCTGGTAGCATAGTGGCTACAAATTTGCCTGATAACCTCAAGGTCAGCGGTTCGAAATTATCATCAGTTCCATAGGAGAAAGATGAACTTTCTGTTCCCATTAAGATTTACAGCCTCGGAAACCCTATACAGGGTGGCTATGAGTTGGAACCAATTCCATGGCACATAACTACTCACTGCAAAGGGAGGAGTGATGAAATGATCACATACCAGTATTGCAGGTGACACCACCTGTGGTCACCCTATGCTTTCTGAATGTGAATCTAATAGAAAACATTCAGGGGCCAGTTTTCCATCTAGAGCTCACAATAATCCCAAAGTTTCCAGGTTGTCTTAAAACACAGAAATACCAGAAACACCACAGAAACACTCTCTTACAACAGCCAGAATTAACATGAAGTATTTCTTAGGAATCCTGGTGTGGCACTGTGGGTTAATGTGCCAGACTGCAGAGCTGTTTGAACTGCAAGGTCGGCAGTTCAAGCTTACCAGCTGCTCCTCGGAAACCCTATAGAGGGTCGCTATGGGTCGGAACGGACTCGATGGCAGTTCACAACAAGATAATTTCTTAGATATAAATTGGGGTGGCATGTACAATCAATTAGAGTGAAGTCAAGGATATGGTACTGTTAAGTCAGAGACTAACAATAAACAACGTCTCCATATTGTTTTTGGTAGCATTGGCAGCATTCTCACAAGCAGGCCTTGTGAGAAAGGTTTGGGGTTGAATAACACCTTTTCTACTTGGCAACATGGCTTTGTTTTTTTTTTTTTCCCTTTCAGCTGCTGAGCTATAGTGCATCAATCTCTCATCCCTCTTCTTTTGCAGCTGGGCACATTCCGGTCCCATGATGGGGATTATTTTATTGAACCACTACTCTCCATTGATGAACAAGAGGATGAAGAAGAACAAAACAAGCCCCATATTATTTATAGGCATAGCAACCCTCAGAGAGCGCCCTCAACAGGAAGGAATGCATGTGACACCACAGGTATTTATTTCTTGCTTACGCAGAGATCTCAGCTTTATAAGATGGTCTGTTTGTCACACTACAAAGATGTAGCTCTTTCACAGTCTACAAAGCAATGCTATATATACATTGTGTTTTATTTAATCATTCTGTGAGTTCGGAATGCATACCTCTGGAAATTAAAGAAAGGCTTAGTCATTTATCCAAAGTTACACAGCTCTTAAGTGTCCTAGCTAGAATTTAAACTCAAAAAGTGACTCTAAACACACCATGGGCAGAGAACTGCTTCTTCTGTTGAAATTGCTAATTTTTGAATTAATCTTAAGTTAAAATTTCCAGGCTGTTCTAGTCTAATAGTATCCTCAACCAATAATTGCTTGGTTTCTATTGATGTATTGGTACCTTCTATTTGTTTTTGTTATTGTTTTGCTTTGTTCTTTTTTTTTTTTTTTTTACCATATAAGTTTATAAAAGAGTCTTACAAATGGAACTCACAAAAGCTTCTATGTATTTGTTGGATTTTTTTTTTCCCTATCCACTTCTATGCACAGTGTTAGCAAGTATTTGTTTAGCTCATGTTCTGAGGTTTTAGAAAATACAAGGATGGACCTGAAAGTTGCACCATCGATTTTCAGGCAAGTTCTACCCTGTTTATGTTCTTATGTGTGTCTTTAAGGCTTTACTGTGAACATGTTTGGCCTTTGTTGAGGTTGTATCTTTCCAACTACCAAGTACCAAGTTTATGCCCATCTTGTTTTTCTCCAGCTGTAGTCTGGTCATGACCATTCACTGTCTTGAAGCCTGCTTTTTCGAACTGATTATATTTTATCATTGGAAATTGTCTCTCAATTTGTTCCTATAGTTTAGGATGTTTGTTACAATAACTCTCCTTAAAAAATATTCTTGGACTTCCTCTTTCTAAAACGTCATCCTTCTTCATATTATTTTTTTGTTGTTTTAATTTACTCAAATTAAATAGCTCTTTGGTTGAATCTAACATCTGCAAACAAGACCAAAATTTTAAGATCAATAGGAAGTTTTCTAAAATGCTTTGCAAATGGTAGTTGCTTTCCTCTTGTATCTAGGTGTGTTGCTCCCCTCTGACAGAGGAATTATTACTTCTTAAGTGCATCTTTTCATAAAACATAACACTGGCTGATTAAAACCTGGGAGTAGTCAAATCTTTGATCTAGGTGGTACTGTAGGATAAACACTAAACTGCCAACCACAAGATTGATGGTTCAAACCCACCAGCCACTCAGTCTCAGAATCACTATGAGTTGAAATTGAATTGATGGAAGTGAGTTTGGTTTTGGGTTTGTTCCAGTATTGGTTTGTTACCACCAAGACTAGAAGAAACATAACTAAAATCGTTTATCACTAAAGAGCCAAAGGATGATACAGCTTCAAAAGGAAGTATACTCAGCAACAATAGTGTATGAAGACTAACAGCCACCAGCAAATTTAATAGGCAAGACATTTTATTACTTTTTTTTTTTAAACCATGTTAGTACTGTGGTGCCATAGGACCAGCACTCAAACCACCTCAAGGTCGGTTTGAACCTCAAGGTCAGCACTTCAAATTTACCAGGTGCTCCTCGAAAACCCTACGAAGAGTCGCTGAGAGTCTGAACTGACTTGACAGCTCTGAAGCTCTTAACAACAACAACAACTAGACCCTGACCTTGACTTCTTGACTTCCCAGATAGCTAGTGCATATTGTATACATGAGTGGTAGTGATGATGGTGCCGTGGAGCTGGTTCCAATCATAGCAACCCTCTACTGGGCTGCCGAGGCTCTAAATCTTTATAGAAGCAGAAAGCCGCGTCTTTCTCTCGCAGACACACTGCTAGAGTTGAACTATTGACCTTGTGGTAGCAGCCCAATTTGTAACCCACTGTGCTACCCGGATTCCATATATATATATATATATATATATCAGGGCCTGGAACTAGTTTATTCAGGTTTGACACCCTGCTGAGAATCTGAATTTCCACTACAGATACATTGAAGTAGAATCTATATTCTAACAAGATCCTCAGATTATGCTTAGAGAGTCCACATGCCATAAGAATAACCTGGCAAATCTTATTAAATAATAAACTTGAATTCAGTTTATCTGGGATGGGAATGCAAATTATTGGCAGGGGTTTGAACTGGAATGCATCGCTTTATAGCCCTCCTGGTGTGGTACTATGGGTTAATGTTCAGAACTGTGAGGTCAGTTTGAACCACAAGGTTGGTGGTTCAAGCTGATCAGCTGCTCCTCGGAAACCCTATTACAGGGTTGCTCTGAGTCAGGATAGTCTCAACAGCACTTACCACCAACAACAAATATAATGCTACAGTTTAATATATATTAATATATGCTTAAAAGATACTAAAATGATATTTTCATTGTTTAATTAGGGCTTTGTGATATTCTTCTGCCTTGAAGTATCTGCAGACCAACATTTAATGAAGTATTTATTAGGTACTGGCATTGTGCAAAGAATATTATCTACATTTCTTCATTTAATTTGTACCACAAACCTATGAGATGGGTAAACACTCTTTTTCCCCTTGTGCATGATAAAGAAATGACGCTCAGAGAGATAAACTAACTGACCCACAGCTACGTTATAATTCCATCCCTTGTTTGTCTGACCTGTTTTCTCTGTGCATCTGTGAAGTGTCTTCTGTGTGTGTTTGAGAGAAACAGAGAGAGAGAGAGATCAGTTTTACTAAATCCTGTCAACCAAAATGTTCTCAGGGATCATTTTTTTAAATTAAGTACCCAAGTCATCGGACACATGATTTGCACTGGAGGACAAGTATGGTCCAGTCCTGTTAAAAACATGAAGAAGAGGGAATTTTAAAAAGGTGAGGACTGAAGACAATGAGGCTTAAAGTTTTCAAAAAAGCTAATTTGAGTTTGATTGATATTGGGGCCTTTAATTATCATCTTCCAAATCACCAGTGCCATTTTTTCATATTGTTCTGGTTTTTACTGGTCAATGACAGCATGACATGCCCTTCCTTCATGCTATGTGACAAATCAGGAACCCGGCAGTTTTGATTAGCTCTTCCAAAGGTTGCTGCTGGACTATGCCACTCTGGTTTCTCTCTTCCAGTTGCTTCTGCACCCCTTCTTTGAATTCAGATGCAGGAGGCTCAGAACAGTTGGAAAGAACTTTGGAATATGGCACAATTCACCAACAGCCATTAGAGAGACGGACCAGCAGGTCATGGAAATCTCCGAAACCAGGTAGCCTTTGCACAGGTAGTGGAGATAGGTGGGGGAGGGAATAGTACCTTTTCCAGAGAAGAAAAGGGCTGATGCCCAATAGCAGTCCATTCAGTTCAGTGATTTGAACTCTAGAGCAATTGTTGGTAGCCAAGAATGAGTTTTAGAAGTACCCAAGATGCCTCGTACAAATGCAGATTCTTAAAAACAAAATCCCTCTCCCAGGTTAATTGTATGGGGCTAGTCATAGTTTCCTTGTGTGACACTGTGTGTTAATGCACTGGACTGCAAAGTCAGTTTGAACTGCAAGGTCGGTGGTTCAAGCTCACCAGCCACGCCTCGGAAACCCTATACAGGGTCACTCTGGGTTAGAGCCAACTCAATAGCACTTAACAACAATAACAACAGCATGGTTTGGAGTTCTTTTGTGATGCCATAGGATAAGCACTGGACTCTAATCACATGGTCAGTGGTTGAAACCATCTGATACAAAGTATCTAAGAATTGGAACTGATTTGATGGCACTTAACAACAATACCTGATTTTAACAGGCATTCCAGGTGACTCAGATGTTCAGCTAAATCACGGCTATGGCTAGATTTACGACAACTGCCAGTATTCATTACTGCTATAATTGTTGGGTGGGAGCTCTGGTAGTGTAGAGGTTACGAATCGGGCTACGAAACTTAACGTCAGCAGTTCAAAACTACCAGCCACACTGCCGGAGAAAGATAAGGCTTTCTGCTCCTGTAAAGATTGACAGCCTCGGAAACCATGTTCAGGGTCGCTATGGGTCGGATCTGACTCGAAGGCACTTAACAACAACAACAGTCATCCCATGAACAACAGGAAGAAACACGGCCCAGTCCTGTGCCATCATCACCATTGTTGCTATCACTGTGCCCATTTTTGCAGCCCCTATATCAGTCCACCTCATTGAGGGTCTTGTTCTTTCTCACTTTACCAAGCATGATGTCCTTCTAGGGTCTGGTCCCTCTTGATAATATGTCCAAAGTACATGAGACAATGTCTCTCACCATCCTTGATTCTAAGGACCATCTTGGCTGTATTTCTTATGAGACTGTTATGACACCGTGGCAGCAGCAATGGCCTCAAACATGACAACAATTGTGAGGATGGCACAGGACTGCCGGGTGGTGTTTCATTTGTTGTCTACAGGTCAATATGAGTCCGACAGACTTGACCTAAAAACAGTAACAACATGGCAGTCATCAATTCTTTGGTTTTCTTTATTCGTTGTCCACCTTTCACATGAATAGGAAACAATTGAAAATACCATGACTAAACACCTTAGTCCTCCAAGTGGCATCTTTGCCTTTTAACATTTTAAAGAGATGTTTTGAAGTAGATTTGCCCAGTGCTGCTTCCGTGGTTGTTGGTTATGGATCCAAGTAAAATGAAATCCTTGAAAACTGCAGTCTTTTCTGTTTACTGTAATTTTGCTGATTGGTCCAGTTGTGAGTTTTGTTTTCTATACTTTGAGTTGTAATCCATACTGAAGCTGTAGTCTTTGATCTTCATCAGTAAGTGCTTCAGCTTCTCTTGGCTTTCAGCAAGGAAGTTTGTATCATCTGCATATTGTAGATTATTAATGAGTCTTCAATCCTGATGTCACATTTTTCTTTGTATAGTCTAGCTGCTCATATTATTTGTGCAGGCTGAATAGTATAGTGAAAGGATATAGCCCAGATGCACACTTTTCCTGATTTTAAGCCATACAGAATCCCCTTCTTCTGTCTGAATCTTGGTTTATGAACAAGTTCTGTGTGAGGC